TGTATGTGCACGCACGTACATATCAAGGCTCGTACATGATGCGTACATTCCTGTCAACCAACACGCAAGCTGTTCTAGCTGGCCAACAAGCAAGCCATCCGACTGGAAGCAAGCAGGCCACTATGACAACCCGATAATAGCGCAACACTCTCCGAGTACTCCACGACGACGACGGATTCCGGCTACCACTACAACAACCCGCCGACTCCACCGTAATGCTCGATGACTACCTCGACTACTACTCAGAACCAACAAACTAGTCGGTGACGAGTTCCGGATGCTCGACGTGTCTACAACCAATTGCTCAGACGTGGTATCCAACTACTCGTCCGAAGTACCCAGCAACTCGGCTGCGACGATCGACAACTCGGCCATGAACCAAGCTAAGTGACGCTTTAATTTTTAAATACATTCCGGATATTATTCGTATGCCTCTGTGGCCATATCATCTTCCCTTAACGGCTGTTAATTTACTCGGATAGTAAGGCTTAATTCGTGAAGCTTGTTGTCTTGAATGGATGGTCACGTCAATGAACCTCTGAACCATACGCGAGATTCAAGTGCTTAAACGTAACAAACAACTACCCAGGAAATTAACCGACCTAGCAAGGGAAGACACAAAAAATCATCATGCGAGCAAACATAGTGCTCTACAATCATCATGCGAGCAAACATAGTGCTCTAAGTAAAATCATCATGTGAGAAAACATAGTGCTCTAAGTCTTCTCTTAACGGTCGCTAAAGTCCTCAGGTAGAACATGCCTTAATCCGTGAAGCTTGTCTACTCACATGGACGGTCACGTCAATGAACCTCTGAACCGAATGCCAGGCTCACATGGTCACGTCAATGAACCTCTGAACCATACGCCAGAGATTCAAGTGCTTAAACGTAACAGGACACTACCTGAGGAATTTGCATGGCCTAGCAAGAGCAAGACGCGAAAAAAGTTTATATGCATTTTATGATGCCGGGGCCCACCCCTGATTGATTATTCAAATATGGGACATGCTCCCGACTTCATATCCGAAATGTCATTTACAACATATTTTTATGTTTAACATGCAGGGGAGCTACATCTGTACCATGAGATCAGAAAAAACACGCTCCTAAGAGCTAGTCCGGAAACAACCTGGTTTGATAAAAAAAGAACCCCGACAAGGTGCGGCAAGAACCAAGACAAGCGCTTAGAAAGAACCCGGATCGATCAGAAAACAACCCCGAAGAGGTGCTACAAGTACCAAGACAAATTCAGAAAGAACCCGGATTGATCAGAAAACAGTGCGGATGAGGTACATACAAGTTCAGAAAAAATCTAGACGAAGTGCAAACAATCTGGAAGAGGTACATCAAGAACCAGAAGTCTAGAAACAACCCAGATGAATCAAAAACAACCTGGAAGAACATCACGGCTTAGTCAAACGCTAAGCTCGGTAGCTCAGCATACGCTTCAACTACACCGGGGGCTCGAATTCAAGGGCGAAAGACCAAGAATACAAGTACTCAAGACTACAACAACGACAACACATCAAGACCCTTCATCCGATTTCTTTTTGAAAGAAAAGAACTCGGAGAAGGCTCGGGGGCTGCGGGATACATAACCCCAGAAATTTTTTAAGACAAGAATCTGGACCCTCCAACTTTTGCAAGCAAAAGCAAGAGACTCGGGGGCTACACTCAGTGAGTGCAATTTTTACGAAAAATTGCACCCACCGAAAAAGAACTCGGAGCAACCAAGAAGACTAAAGGGACCCTCTGGCTTCTTGTCCCAACAAGCAAGAGGCTAGGGGGCTACACTCACTGAGTGCACTTTTGTCCAAAAGTGCACATCAGCTGAAGAAAAGACAAAGAAGACCATCTCAAGATCTCACTTCAAGAAAGAACCCGAAACAAGTCTACAACAACCCGGCCCTTGAAGCTCAATCATGAAATGCTCGGAGGCTTGTCGATGCGGGACCCATAAGGTTCCCCACGGAGAAGAGAGAAGAAAACCTAATCCAAATAGGATTCCCTACATGTAATCCTACTAAGACTAGTTACACATAATCCTACTAGGATCTCTACTTTATAATCGACTATGACTCCCGCCTCTTCTGGACTATATAAAGGAGGGCAGGGGTCCCTAGATCGGCACCTACACAAGAGCACACCATAAAACACACAACAGAAACCTCTAGATCTCGATAGAGATCAAGAGGACGACATAGCGCAGGGCGCAACATACTATCTACTCCACACTGGACGTAGGGCGCCGTGATTTTTTGGCGTACCGAACCAGTATAAATCGTTGTCTCCCTGCGTTTACCACCGAGTTCCTACATACGCCGATACCCCTCCGAACAAATCACCGCCCCGGGTACCCCCGTGGCGGGTTGCCGGTGATAAAACATCGACACTGTCGCAGGGCTTCCAGCGGCTCCCAGGTAGACAAAGTCGGCGGCATGAGAGACCAGCGCACCAGCCCCTGCTCCACAGGATGATCGCCACCGGTCCAACGCTTCTGAAGAACAGCGATAGGCACCTGAAATTCAGTGAGATCAGAGGGCAAAGCAAGCAACTGCAGAATCCGAGCATGTGCCTTCTTCAACTGAGAAACGTCGAACACCGGGTGGATAGACGATGATGATGGCAACTCCAAGTGATAGGCCACATTCCCGATTCGCTCCAGCACACGGAAAGGCCCGAAGAACCGGAAGGCCAGTTTCTGGTTGGAGCGAGGAGCAAGCGAACTCTGAACATATGGTTGAAGCTTTAAGAACACAGAGTCACCAAATTGGAAACTGCGATCTAGACACCCCTTGTCTGCTTGCCGCTTCATGCGCTGCTGAGCACGAAGCAAATGTTGCCGAATCAGACTGTGCATCAACTCCCGTTCTTCCATCTAGTCCGACAGCGATGGTACAGAAGAAGCAGATGAAATATCCAAGCCCAAATGTCGCGGTGGATACCCATAAAGAACTTCAAATGGCGAACGGCCAAGAGTAGAGTGAGAGCTGGAATTTATCCAAAATTCCACGGCTGACAACCAATGAATCCAACGGCGAGGGCAAGCGTGGATGAAGCACCTCAGGAATGTCTCGAGACACTGGTTGACGCGCTCAGTTTGTCCATCCGACTAAGGGTGATATGCCGAGCTCATTCGAAGTTCCACTCCGGCAAGACGGAACAGTGTATGCCAAAACTTGCTGGTGAACACTCGGTCCCTATCCGAAATGATTGAAAGTGGTAGTCCATGCAAGCGATAAATATGATCCAGGAAAAGCTTGGCCACTGATTCAGCCGAGAAAGGGTGGCGCAACGGAACAAAGTGTGCAAACTTTGAAAACTTATCGACAACCACCAAAACAACATTTGCCGAACCTAACGGTGGAAGACCCTCAACGAAGTCCATCGAAATGATTTCCCATGAAGCCTTAGGCACAAGCAGCGGCTGCAGCAAACCCGGGTATTTAGAGCGATCAGGTTTGGCTTGAGCACAGGTAACACAGGCCTGAACAAACTGCAGAACATCGGCACGCATTGAAGGCCAATAGAAAAGCTGGCGCAGCTTCTGCAAGGTTATTGGGGCTCCGGAGTGACCACCGACTGGACTATTATGCAAAGCAGCCATCACACGAGACTGAAGCACTTTGTTTGAGCCCAGCTAGATCCGCTGCTTGAATTTGATGATGTCGTTGCGCAGGGAAAAAGGAGAAGAGTCCTCAGACTGCAGAGCAAGCCTGGCCAACAGTGACTAAGCCTCCTCATCGTTGGCGTACCACTGCTGGAGCTCAAGCAACCAATCGTGCACTAGGAAAGAGATTGCGAGCACCTTAGCAGGGTGATTGCGGCGGGACAGAGCGTCCGCTACACCATTCTCGGCACCGCGACGGTATTGAATCTAGTAATTAAGACCGAGCAATTTGGTGAAGGCTTTCTGCTGCCACGGTGTGTAGAGACGCTGTTCATTCAGGTGCACCAAACTGCGCCGTGTGGATAACGAACTCATTTTGCAACAAGTAGTGCCGGCACTGATCTACCGCCATCACAATAGCCAGGTACTTTTTTCATAGACATAAAGGCCTTGGTTGCGCGGGCTGAGTGGTTTGCTGAGAAATGCCAGGGGGTGTCCATTTTGCATCAACACCGCACCAACTCCATTCCCGGAAGCATCAGTTTCAACATGGAATGGCTGTGAGAAATCTGGAAGTGCCAACACCGGCGCTGAACTGAGCGCTGTCTTGAGAGCTTGGAAAGCCGACTGATGCACTGACGCCCGGATAAACAGAGCGTCCTTCTTGAGCAATTCAGTGAGTGGTTTTGCTATGAGACCAAAGTGGCGAATAAATTTACGGTAATACCCCGCTAATCCCAGAATGCCCCGTAGTTCCTTAACTGATGTTGGCACCGGCCACCGTTCAATTGCTCTGATCTTGGTGGGATCAGTTGACAGACCTTGCTCGCTGATGACATGCCCCAGATAAGCCACAGACTGCTGAGCAAATTTACACTTGGACAGCTTAATTTTCCAGCTGTCGGCTGCAAGCCACTGAAACACCGCAGCAAGATGACAAAGATGTTCCTCATAAGTGTGGCTATAGACTAGGATATCGTCGAAAAACACGATGACAAATTTGTGCAACCCAGGTGCCAGTGACATTCATCGCGCCCTGGAAGGACCCTGGAGCGCCTGTGAGGCCAAACGCCATGACGCGGAATTCATACTAGCCAAGATGCGTCTGAAAGGTCGTATTGTGTTCTTCTCCTGGTTGCAAAAGAATTTGATGGAATCCGGCTCTCAAGTCCAGGTTAGAAAACCAGCTAGCATGTGTGAGTTCGTCCATCAGTAGGTCAAAAACACGAACCGGGAACTTGGACTTAGCTGTGATGGCGTTGAGCTATCGAAAATCAACACAAAATTTGTATGTTCCATCTTTTTTCTTGACTAGGAGCACCGGTGAAGACAAGGGACAAGCACTTGGCTGAATCAACCCTTGAGATACCATATCAGCCACCTGACGCTCTATCTCATCTTTGAGACCCGGAGGATACCAGTATGGTCTTGTAAATACTGGCTGAGCCCCCGGAATAAATGGAATACGGTGATTACAGGCACGTGATGGGGGCAGCTCAGTAGGTGCTTCAAACAGGTGATGAAACTGATTGAGCAACTGCCGAATCTCCAGAGGAACATCATCAGGAAGTGACTCGGTGGGCTCAGGATCTTGCACAGGACAAAGCTGAGATACAAATGTAATGGACTGACCGAGTTGAGCCCCTGAAGCAAAACCGACTGCCCCTGATATGGGATAACAAGCCACTTCTGCAACCAATCCATCCCGATGATAACATCATAAGCAGAGAGTTGCAGCACTCTGAAATTAGAGCGAAAGACACACTGATCCACAGACCATTCAATATCCGTCAAGAGGCCCGGACTGTGAAGGATACCGCCACCAACAACCTCTACTTGAGTCGGAGCAGCTAGCACAGACACGGCAGACAACTGCTCGGACACAGACAAACTGACAAATGAAGCTGAACTCCCTGAGTCGATCAAGATACGCACAGGGCAGCGCTCCACCAACCCATTGAACTGAATGGCTCTAGTAGGAGTTGAACTCTGCAGGGCAGCCTTAGAGATTGCCAAGAACACCTGCTCTTCGCTGCACTCAGGGCCACTGTCCTCAGGTGAACAATCATCGTCGTCCTGGAAATCTTGCCAGATAGCCTCGACAGCCAAAAGAACCTCCGGGGAACAACGATGGTCCTTGGACCACTTGCCCCTACACTTGAAACAGAGCCCGAGCGCTCGACGGTAAGCTTTCACCGCCTTGAGAGTAGAGTCAGTGGACGATGTTGCCGCCGAAGCTTGGACAGCGGGTACCGGGGCCTTCTCCATCTTGGGCAGGGGTGGCAAGGGCAGAGGAGTCTTGACCGCCGGCAGAGACTTGAACGGCGAGGACCAATCACCAGAGCAGAACAGCTTCGACGGTGAAGAAGCCACCTCTTCCTGCAACAATGCAAGGCGACAAGCAGTATCGAAGTTTTGGGGTCTTTGAACAACCACAATTGCACGAATGTCATGGCGAAGCCCATCCATAAATCGAGTGGTGAAAAACAGGGGATCAGATGAAGGAGAAGAAACCATTAGCTGGTCCACCAGTTGGGAAAAGGCAGAAACATAGGCAGACACTGTGGTTTGTTGGCCGATGTTGAACATTTGGCGAAGGAGAGATTCGTGTTGGTCTCGATCGAAACGATCATGCAAGAGTTGACAAAAGGATTCCCGAGTGATCGAAGGCAACTGGGGAGAAAAGGACTGGTACCAGCGAGCGGCTGCGCCCTCCATGTAATGCTAGACCAAGCTGACCCAGAGGGACGGATTGACCTCATATGTGTTGAAGTACTTTTCACAGAGAGAACGCCAGCGACGCGGATTTTCACCATCAAATTTGGGAAATAGAAGTTTAGGAAGATGGCCAGTATGCGGTGAGTGTTGAGGATTCTCAGGTGGTCGAGGGGGAGGGTATCGGGGTGGTAGGACCAGAGTAGAACGGAGTGGTTCTGGTGGACGAGCAAGGTGATGGAATGGACTAGGAACAGCAGCAAGCTGAGGTGGGGGGTTACACGAATACGGCGGCGGAAAAATAGGATGAACAGGATGAGAATCGGAGGACGCACCCTTGGCCGGGATAGGGAGCCAGGTCGTAACGACCCCGGGTCCCGTATCCCGTGTAGTCGGCTCAACGCGGCGCCCAAACACGGGCAGTTCGGCAGGGAACCCGTCAGACGAGTTCGCAGCCGCCTTGGTTGAAGAGTTGTCGACGCTGTGGCCGTGCGGCAATTCGTCGAACACAGCGCGGGCCTGAGTCTTCGCCATCTTCTGGACAGCAATCCGGATGTCGTCGAGGACGCCATCCACGCCGGGACGCCATGCGCACAGCTCCTAGGTCGCCGACTCCAGCGTCGCTAGGCGATCGTCCCGCGCACCCTTGATGGGAACGCCGCGCAGGGACTCCAGCTCCGAGAGGCGGGAGGCGAATTCGGCGTCGCGGTCGGTGTAGTTGGCTTGGAGCGTGGCGAGGCGGCTCTCGACCGCAGCGACCTGTGGATCCGCCGGGGCTGCCTCCAGATCCGCGACGCGGCGAGCAGGTCAATGGAAGCGGCAGCGTGAGATGCCTCCATGTTGTCGAAGCGGAAGTCGACGGCGGCGAAGCGCTTGGACAGGCTGCGCTCCAGATCAGAGAAGCGTCGGTTGAGGCTGGCCTCCTGAACATCGAACCGGCGATTCAGACCGGTAATCTCATCGAGGATGAGCCGGAGATTGGACTCCATAGCGCCGCGGGATCCTTAGAATCTGGTGTAGTGTGGGTGGGGAGGTGGGTTGGGTTCCAGGATTGGACGAGTCTCCGATACCAATTTGTTAGCAGCCGGATCAGAGAAGGGAAGGAGGAAGGCATGGGCAGGAAGAAGAATAGGAGAGGAAGGACGAGTTCTTCGTTTAGAGTTCAGAACAGTGTTCACAATTCGATGATCCTTCCACTCTTACAGTAGGACGCCTAAATACATCATCTATTTGGACCACTCTGGGCCGGACAGCATACGGTTGGGCTCAGTCTTCCTCTTGGGCCGTGCGGCCTCGACAGCTTCTTGTTTATCATTGGAGCCCAGCACCTCTTCAGTTGGAGTAGCTTGGCCATCGCTGACAGAGGGTATCCTAGGATCTTGATTATCCATTTTTTAAAAATAAAAATGAAAATTTTAAATAAAGCAGCTAAATTACGGCCGGCCGTAATATAGCCTCTCCGCACGGCCATGCCATATTTGGTAAAAAGTGTAATTATTATATTCTTTTTCTAATCACGCTGGCTTGTTGCGCGCGTGTGGAAGAAGAATTTTCCACCGTACGTAACCGAGCGACTTAAGCGGTCTAGGCCCAGACCACGGTTATTATGGGCAAATCAGGCACAGATATACGTTCAAAAAAAGAGACATGTAGTAAGCTTCTCATAAGACTGATTGGCTATCCTATCGCAGAAGAACACATTTGCATTTGCAAGTTTCCTAGAGCACAACACGATACATCTACCTAGGAAAGCACCCATTTACGCAGCTTCTCTGTATATGGCATACATCTTGCTCGTCTGTCCATGGCCTGCATCCTGCAGGTTAAAAAAAGGATAACATGTGTCATAAATTTGTCCAGTCGGATGGCCTTTTTTACTAGTAAGAAAAGGATAAATTACCTATTCAGAGGCCCATTGTTGCCTAACAAATGACACTTAAATTGCCTAAAAAAATGCAAAGGTGCTAACATGGGGCTGCTAGGAAAATAGGTAACACCGGATTGCTCACCTTCGCGTGCTGTCATCCATGTTTTCCCTTGACCATAGATATATCTGCACTTGACCATAGATATATCTGTCCATGGCCCCACCGCTTGCAACCACAGCTCCACCCGGAACGTGGCTTCTGCCCGCCTTAGCTTTGCCCAGCACCTGGCAAGGAGGCGGCATAGAGGACATTGATTAACCATTCCGAACAGTTGGAAGGCAACACAGACTGCACAGGAATGATCTTGTTCAATTGATAAAGCCCAGTGCGTACCACTAGTCTTCAAATTGATGAAGCATAACACAGACAAACAGACGACTGTTCCTATAGAAGAAATACGTGTGTAACAAAACAGTGCATTGAACTGTTAAAATATACATGTGTAAAAGTATGATGTAGCAACTGAGAAGAAGTACCTAAAAGTGCTAGGGGATAATCCTGGAGCCTCTATTGGTTGTGAGCAGGTTGCTGCTGGTAATGGTGTAGTGGATTGCATTTTATTAGGCAATTTAAGTGTCATTCACTAGGCAAAAATATCTTCCTAAATAGGCAATTTAAGTATTCTGAAAAAGTAAAAAGTATGCATGCACAAAAAAGAGTTTTTGTCATTACATTTGTATGAGCATGAAATGCAATAATTATTGATGGAAACAACTAGCTCTAAGCAAATATCCATGTCAAAACAATTTAATTCAAAATACTTGTCCGAAAAAAATCATGATTCAACTAGTCCTATGCATAAAAGCACAAACACTAGAACAATATTTTAAAAAACACAGATGCACATTTTCCACTAGAGGCAGGCTTTCTCCTTGTTCCCCATGGAGATTGCAGGATTAGCGGCTGCATTGTGTTTGCTTGCTGCCTGCAACTTGCTCTGTAGTTCTGCAGCACTGTTCCTTTTATGCCTTCGGTGTTTTCAGCAAGGGTTGTGACTGACTAACTGATTGACTGTGAATGATGCCTCTCACCCCAACACAGTGCACTTCCATTCAGGTTTCAGCAGAAAATTAATATGCTGGATGCAAAGATAATATACTGGCATCAAGGTGCCGGTAATCTATCATTAACCACTGGCTCATGTCAACTCTAAAAAATATAGGCACATGTATTGATTACATTACACAGATCTAGTATTTTGATTAGGCTATTCTATTGTTTTCCACTAAACAAGTGTACTAAAATCCAGCATATTGGATCCACCATCATGGGAATAAACAAAAGATCATCCCAAATGGCTTTAGTTCAGGTATATAAGCAAGTCAAATTTGAAGCAATTGAGCCTATTAGGAAAAAGTTCACGCTGACATGCAACTGATATAATAAAGCAATAAAAATGCACCATCATAACAAACTTCCCCATGTAGAAATTGCAGCCTGTGAGCATTTCAGCTATATAATTTCAGCCTATGTAGAAATTACATGCCTGTGGGCTAATCTATTGGTTTGAACTAAGCAATTACACTAATTCAGAGTACAAACTGCGGTGTCAAAAAAGAGTATACTAATCTTAATGGGTAATGGCGAGGAACTCGCCTTCTTAGAATGCATCGTTGCTGGCAACAAATCAACACCTCCCCTACCCCCCCTCCCATACCCACGAACACATCCGTAATATAGAAAATCGATGCATTCATAACAGCAAAGTAGGCCCAGCTGAAAACTCGCCCGAAATTTGCGGTCAACAACAGGGCTACGCTCGTGCCGTGGGACAGGGGCATACCCATAAGATGCACGATTGCTTTAATCATAAGCAGTAAAAAATATTGATAAATTCTATATGAATAGCATAAGAACCGGATTAGCTCCAAGAGAAATCACATGTAATTCCTCCTATAGGAAACAATAGGGGCGTACCCAGTGTAGAGAGCTGCCGCTCTGTGCGGGGTCTGGAGAAGAGTGTCAGTGGCCAGCCTTACCCTCGCCTGTGCAATGCGAGGAGACCGCGACTCGAACCCGGGACCTTCCGGTCACAGGCGGTAAGACTCTACCACTTGCACCAAGCCCGCCCTTCTCCTATAGGAAACAATATCAAAAAGAAAAAATGGTCCAAATTGAAAATATCAGCATATATGCCCAATAACAACCACATGCATGTCAGATTCAAGCTCTACTTGCTCTAGTAGATCCAACATAAAGGGGGGGTCTAAGCAAACACACCTACTTGAAGAAAATATAGTGCCTACACCAGATGTGGTATTTTGATTGGGCTAATATATTGGTTTGAACAAAGCAAGTATGCCAATTCAGAGTACGGGTATGTGAAATTTCAGTACACTGCACGCTGCCATCCATGGGCTGTCATTTCAGGCAACTCACTCATCTATAACTATGTTTCTCCTACTTACTAATTAGCTACATCAGTTTCACTTATTTCTATGTGCAAAATGGACACAAATTAGCGGCCTACAGTTGTATTCAGTGATCTGCGCTCACCATTCAGTTTGTGCTTTATATATGTTGGTAAACTCACGTACATTTGGTACTATTGTTGTGTATCATTTACTGGAAGCCCAAAACCATCTAATCTTCCAAAAATCACGATCATGCCTAGGCATGAAAAACTAATGAATGGAATCCACAGGAAACGAGTCACAGCACTGCAAGGGGAAAAAATAGGGAGCACTCATCTGTACGTTATGTGCGCAGGAGCAGGTGATGAGTACCATCTCCCTGTTCTTGAAGGCTTGAAGCCGAAGAGCGTGCGCTCTGGCGCGGAGTCGTCGGGCTTCTCTGCGCCAGCGTGGATGGGACAGGGCGGGCTCCGCAAGGCGGGAGTGAGGCATCGCGTCGTCGCGCGGCCATGAGGGTGCTGGGAGGCGGACGCGGCACGACCGGGGTGAGGTGCGACACAGCCATCGCCGAGAAGCCTGCACATGAAAATAAAATCAAACAAATCCGTCGAAATCAGTAGATGCCCCGACCCCGCACAAAAAAGCGGGAAATCCCCATAGCTAGGATCTGAGGCTCACCTCCCTGCTCGCCCTCTAGCCGCCTAATCCGCTCCTCTTCACTCTGCAAATCGAAAAATCCGATGAAAAACGCTATTAGAACCGAGCATGACGTGCCATGGGGGAAAATCATCGAATCTCTAGCCGAATTGCTCACCTTCGTGTGCTGCCATACGCTTTTCCGCCTGGGATTGGAGTGGATCCACAGGAGCGTGCTCTGAATCGCCCACAGATCCAGAAAGAGAGGAGGAGGGAAGAGACACGGGGAGGAGAAATGAAGAGGCACGCATCCCTTTGGGTCCTCCCGACGTTCGACCGCACCAGCTCTACGGTTCGATTCGGACGTGCCGTGTGCGTGCGAAGCGACAAACGCACGGACAGACTAAACTGTAGTCCTCGTGCTGTTTCGTAAGACATTAATTTGCTGACCATGATAAATCTATTCAATATACAAATCAGCTGGGCTGTGCTCCTGTTCCCGCGCTGCTTTTTCTGGCCGCGCTGCTTGCTTTGCCTTGGCACGCTGCTTTGCTTTGCTTTGCCTTGACGTGTTGCCGGCAGACTTTTCTCTCCCTAAATCATTCATATATTCAAAATAGTGTTCATGCAGTTCATAAATATTCAATATTATAAATCATCAGACCTACGATCTCCTAAATAAACCATTAGCTATCCAATCCCGAAATTGATTCATATTTTGATCTTCGTCCCCTTGACGTATACATCGTTTATTTCCTTAAGAAGAAGACGATGCTTCGGCCATTGGAACGTAGTTTTTCATCCCGATCACACATATCAAAGTCCGTATCCGCTAAAGCACTCTCTCGAATGAAATTATGAACGACCATGCAGACCATAATTATTTGGCTTTGCTTTGCCATTGGATAACTCGACAAATCTAACAATATCCTCCACTTCATCTTCAAAACTCCAAAAGGCCGCTCGATGACATTTCGAAGTGAAGAATGCGAATAATTAAAGAGCTCCTTTTTACCTCTTGGCATTGGTCCTTACCGAAACTCCTGTAGATGATATTTTGTTCCCTTATACGGTGCAAGATAACCTGTTCGGTTTGGGTAACCTGAGTCTACAAGATAAAACTTTCCTACATAACATGGAATTAAGACATAAATGCAGTTGCAGACTTGCAGCATGAAAATTGACGTGCACAATTACCTGAAGCACCCACCAGTATATATAAGATAAAATAAAAATTATTAACAATTATCTGACATCAAGCATTATAGAATGCTGGCAAGGTGGCATATATAAGAAACTGGAGAGTGGACATGAAACTGAATAGCTGGTCTATAGCTCATTAAAAGGCACAGGAGTAGTTAGCAAAGGCAATAAGAAATGTGTTCAAGTTCCCTAATAAACAGCAGTAAGTAAGTCAATGGCTAATGGACACGTCACAGCTCAAGTTGCCTAATAAACAACAGTAAGTAAATCAAACAAGTTAATGGTCAATGGACATGTCAGCTTAAATTCCCTAATAAACAGCAGTAAGTAAATCAAACGAGTCAATGGCCATTGGACATGACACCGCTCAAGTTTGAGTGCGTGTAATGGCTAATTATCTTAGATGTAGTGCCTAATATAGCTGGAGTGTCTGTAATTGAAAATTATATTTCAATATAATTTCAGCTCATGTATTTTTAAAATATTAGCTATTTGCATGGCTACTGGTAAGATTGCAACCACACCACAATATCTATTGCATCACTAGCACACATACTGAACCACTGGTAAGCATTGCACTTGCATGGACTAAATCTACAGAAAAAGATCCACCAAGAGTAACAGTGGCTAACACAATCTAGGTGAAACATGGAAAGTAACATGAAAAGTATGTCAATCTAGGTGAAACAAGAGATGATAGGAGACATCAATCCCTTGAGGTGGATGTGGAAACTTGTCGCCATACTTCTCAATTGCATCCTTGAATACCCTCATATCATGAACAGATCCAGGCCATCCCGCCACAACAAAGGTAAATCTCATATTGAAGTCACATATTGCCAACACGTTCTGAGTAGTGTAACCATGCCTCCCCGTATGTTGCACTACCTGATTAGTTGGCACAACTACAGGGACATGTGTTCCATCTATGGCTCCAATTATCAAAGAAAGGAGAAAACCGAGGGGATTGTAACCTTTGATGCACAGACCTAAAATGAGGATCAATTGTCCTAATGATATCAGCTGCTAGCTTGGACACGCTAGCCAGCACCTTCTCAAACTTCCTACTAACTGTCTCGAGTGATCGTGTAAACCTATTTTCAACTTGTCTAATAGCTTGTTGTCCTCCACATATCCATAAGAACATCCCCAAAGCCTCCACTGATGACATCTTACGTGTGGACTTCAATCCATATGACTCCACAAGGACATTATGAAGCTTATCAAAAACATTTCTGTGCATCCTAAACATGTTGTAACAACCAGTCCTATTACCTAGGTTTCTCATGACCCATTCGTATCCATATTCTTTAGGTACTCTATACTCAGCTTTGTTCATATATTTGTCGAAGTGAATCATATCGATCATGGATGCAGTAAGGACCATTTGCTTCCTCCTCTTCTAAGCCCTCAAGAAATACTCTTCTACAACAACATCTTCATCATCCGAACCATCACTGTCACTTGAATCAGCATCCTCCGAACTAGCACTGTCACTTGAATCATCATCTGACCCTTGCTCTGAATCATCATCATCATCTTTAGTGCCATCTCCCTCAAGTTTTGCTGCATTAACATCATCAACCTGAACACACAAACAACAAACCGCATCAGACCATAGGTTAACCACTCAAAAAAGGTTCACCACTCAAGACATAAGTTCACCACTCAAGAGTCAAGACATAGGTTCACCACTCATAAATAAATTCATCATAGATAATAGGTTCATCAAGCACATAAGATATTCATCACACATAATAGTTTCATTAAGCATATACTAGGTTCAACAAGCATAGAAGATGTTCATCACGCATAATAGGTCCAAAGATACTACACTTTACTTAAGATACTATAGCCATCATAGATACATCAAACACTCCATTGGTTCACCCGCTGCTACGTTGGCACCATCTTCTGAACCACATAAACCTTGACTCCACTATGGTGAGTTTATAGAAGATGTTCCTGTTGTATTCTTTCTCAAATAATGTTGTAGCTATGAAGAATTCTTCTATTTCTTCAGCTGCCCCACATTCCTTAGCCATGGCCAAGCATCTGTCTATTTGTTCATGCTTCTCTTGCTTCTTCTTCATATGTCTGCGTACCTTGCTATTTCTGTATTGATCCAATTTTTCATTTGAAAGCTTGCTGTCTTGATCAAACTTGTCCATGATTCCACTCATCATGTTCAACAAAGGTGTCTTACTTTTCCTAGGTGGACTGTCGCCTGACTTGCATTTCTTGGATGGACTCTCGGCTGTAGTGGCACTACTGCTTGCCCTCTTGCGGCTAGAACTACTCACTAGACTGAACACATCTGCATCACTTCCTGTAGGACTCCAAGCAGCAGCCCCAGAAACCTCAACCACGTCATCCCCTACAACATCATATGCTTGCTGTCCAAGGATGCATGAAGATGACCCATCTACTGTCACACCTTGGAACATCTCAATTAGAAGGTGCAAGTAAGCAGGATTGCCCGACTGAAATTTCTCTGCTTGTCCCTAAAATGCACAGATGAAGAACACAAATGATTAGATCACATCACAGTGAGCAAGGCGCATGGTCTAGGTGAAACCAAAGCAGTAAGTACCTTTGTGTTGTTGGTCCACCATTCAGGCGATGCATCAATTGTACCATCAGGTTTTTGATCTAACCCTGTGTTTTGATTAAGCTTCAACCAGAACTGGTACATTGTCTTGCAATTTTTCACTCAGTTCTAAATGCATTTGGTGTCATGCCAGAGATTAGTGATGTGGTAATATTTTTTTTGAATTTCGATGTAACCTCTAGTGGTCATTGTCCCATTATTCCAATTCCCTTTTCTCATTTGCTCAATAAAAAGTTCACAGAAATAGTATATGTTTTGCTCACTCCAATGTGCCTTGTCATAATCCTCTATAACAGAAAAAAAGATGGCATCACATATCTAGAATGCGACAAAACTCAACTGTAATTTGGTATACAAAATGCAGACAAATAAGAGGTACTTGAGGCTTCAGCTGATTGAAATAACAGTCACATACTACTTCACATGAAGACAATAAACTAAAACTATAAAAAGGTAATGCTACTATGAAAAGTAGTCTAACTCTAACTACACAAGTAGCATGGCAATAAATTTAATCTTTCTAATTCACATCATTCATGTGTGTAGTACCTAAACTATAAGGATACCTGTGCAGGAATACTCAAATATGTTGCATGGAAATGCTTCTAGTTAAAATAAATATGATTGAGGTAACTACATAAGTAGCATGGAACTGCAGCAAAGGTACCTACCACTGACTAGAACAGAAAAGCAGAAAATAAAAAAGCATCATCATCTACTCTGCTCTACCACAACTACAATCTATCATCTATAGAATGTAGCTAAGCTAACCAACAATCTAATATAATACAAGAAATATTAAAACTAGTAGTAACTAACTACTAGTGCTCGAGCATTCCATGCCTGCACCAATTCAATCATCGATTCCTTCATTCATTCAGTAACAACACTTGTTCTGTCTATGATTACAAATTTGACGCACTCCAGCAGCAGAGATATGCCACATCTCTCGCTAGCTCGCTTATTACTCACTCACTCCACCATATATTAACTGAAACTGAACCCCAACGTATGAAATGGATATATATGATCCTCGAATCCAGAGGGGTCACTCAAATGGCGGTGGACCATATCAGAGAAAAAGAGAATTCATTCAGAGCCTCAAGAGCTTGAGCTGCTGCTGCTTAATTAGCGCTAAGGCCTCAACCCGACTGTAATAGAATGCCAGATTTTGCCTCTCGTAGCTAGCAGTTTAATTAGTGTCGTAATGCAGCAAGATAACATCAACTAGTAATATAGTATAGTACGATAATAGTACTGGTGGCAGAGCAGCAGAGGTCAAACACAAACTGCATACTGTTATCTAGTAGGGTTCACTCTTTCTTTTTTGTTGATGACTAGCCAACTAGTACCAACTAGTACCAAACTCGATCTTACCGACTGAAAACGTGGATCAAAGTCATTGTCGTCTTGTTCTTCGTTTTCGTCGGCGTGGTCTACATCCTCTGCAGTGCCCACAGATGTGGATCCACGGCCAACGCAGAGGGGCACCCTTCCCCTGTGGTCACCATCGTCGATTCCGGCCATTGGAAGCCCCTACGGACCGGATCGTGATGGCCGCCCGCCGGATCTAGCGATAGAAGGGGACATGACTGAAACATGTGGCCTAAACTAAATGGAAAAAAATAAAGGGACAACGCAGCTGAGTCGAAACAGATAAAGTCATGGCAGAGGTCAGAGAGCTACAGGTATGTAGTTGATTTTTTTCTTTTTTTTACAAAAAAGCTAACATCGTTCTTCCTTCTTTTCAATAGTATTTTGGCAATGCTCCCTATCGGGCATCCGTATGTCCGGACGGACCCCACCTGTGTTGCACGCCGCACGCCCCTGCCCATGCCACATGCGGCCCACCCGCGCCACTTGCCCGCGTGGATTCACCACCTCCACCGTGTCTCCCACCGCGGTCGCGCTCCTTCGCCTACCGAGGCCACTGCCATGGTTTGTGTCGCCGTTAAGCTCTGCACCAACGACCTCCGTGCCGCTTCGTGGCATCGAGCTCTGCGCCGATGTCGAGCTCTATGTTTCATGTGTTTCAGATGTATGTTTCATCTGGATGTTGCATGTGTTTTATCTAGATGTTGCAAAAGTAGATATGGTATTGTATATGTTGCAATGGCTATACACGTATGTTGTAAGTGTATGTTTCTAATATTTCTGTTGTTTCAGACGTATGTTGCAAGTGTATTATCTAAATGTTGCATATGTTTCAAGTGATAGTTTCAAATGTTTCACCTGTTTCAGACATATGTTGCAGCAAGTGCTTCACGTTGCAAGTGTTTTCATTAGTAGACGCGGGAACCGAGCGTAGGCGGAGGCGGTCCCCGAGTGTGCACGGAGAGCGAAGCGGGTGCGGGCGGTACCCACATGCATACGCAGCAGCAGGCATGGTAGCACAGGCGCGTGCAGGTGTAGCAGCAAGTGGGCAGCATGAGAAGCAGCAACAGGTGGCCATGCGTCGCAGTAGAAGGCGAGCGCCAACAGTAGGCGTGGGCAGGTGCTGCAGGTAGGGCAGCCACAGCAACATGCGCAGCAACCGGGGCAGGCGCGAGCGTTCAGACGTCCGGACGATAGCCACGCCGATAGTTTACTTTAAAAGAAAAATACATGTGTGGTCCCTAAATTCGTCATAAGATATCAATCGGCTTCTCAAACACAAGAAAATACATTTTCAGTTTCACTTCTTTTTTAATAAGGTATCTAAATATCTCTTATAAAGTTAATTCTCACTATATGTTCTATCTCAGCATAAAAGCTATCCACATCATCTTCAACTAATAGCCATGTTATCTCATTAACTTTTAACCTCTTAATGCAAGCTATCCAAGTATTCATAAAATGCTACATTGTTTTGTTGGTGCGTCATCTTATAATTCAATTGTGAGGACGTCACTCCAGCCGTCCAGCTAGTACTGTGTGTTAGTCCTCTTGACTGACATAGCACTAACTCGAGGGTCATGGGACGACTCCCTGGAGTCGTCACCCACTATCTCCATTAGCTCAGCTAAACCGTGGGATCGTCATAGAGGAACGCAATGATGCAACCATCAAGAATTGTATAACACAAAAATCACACGACAATTAATTAAGAAATTTACAAGTAGCGATAAGGAAATAATTAACAAGTTAGAAATTCCGGTCATCAACTCAACTTAAGTTACTTATCTCGATTTCTACGTTAAACTCTTGTATAGCCGCTTTATTAGAGTAATGGAAATTTTCGGGGGACGCCCATCCCTTGCACTTCTAAGCCTTTGACTTTACTCAAGCTTGGCTCGAGCGGGAGCCAATTCTTTCGACACCTATAACAGCTTAACGATAGTAACGTGACTGCGATTGTACTTAGAGGACTTATTATATTCCAACATAATTATTTAGTGGATGCAATAGATGTAATAAATAGACATTTGTAAAGTTTGCAAAAAGGCGTGACTAAGTTAATGCAAGAGATGCTGCTATGCTTAAGTTGCTATTCATGGCTGCAGTCCATACATGGAGTCCGGGTTTCGACCTGGCACCAAGACTTGTAACCACGCACACTATTGATACCCACCTCAAAAAGATCATGACCGATGGGAGACAAAAAACATATACAAGGGGAGGGTTTTTAACATGGACAAAAGGGTGCAGGTAAGGTTGAACCACAAGGTTCATTAACATTTGCTTGGCAACATATTTGATTATGGTTTGAGAATGTTTAAACATGTATTTGGGAAGGATCAGGTTCTCGCGGACGGTCTGGTGAGCATGGCCAGACGGTCCAACGGTGCCTAGGGTTTTCAGTAGAAGATTCCTCAGGCCTAGTGCTATCATGGACGATTCGGCAGGATCTGCCGAATGGTGCGGCAAAAAACTACTATAAAGGACCGACATCAACCGATGGGGTTCCTTTTATTATCCCCATCTGGTCACACCATGCCAAAAGTCAAATTCACTGCTCCCACCATGTGCTCGTGCTTACCGGGAGGCCGTTCGTTGCCCATGTGCTTCTCCAACTTGTTTCAGGGGCAAGCTTCCAATTTTTTGCTCCAAACTTGTTTTCTCTCCTTTGATTCAAACTTAGGCTTAGCCTGATCTATTTTTTAGCTATGGATTGAACTAGGAGATATTGGGGATCTTGTAGAGGATGCTTCACTTGTGCAAAGGTTTGATAAGCTGTAGTGGATGAGAACTAGAGATATTGTGGATTTGGTGATTCATGAGAACTAGAGATATTGTGGATTTGGTGATTCATGGGCACTGTTCACGCTGTCCATGCTCTTGTGGACGGTCAGACCAGAAGCGCCAGACAGTCTCCTAGAACACTAGTGGAAGATAACAGTCTGAGGGTGTCTAGGAATGGTCCGTGGTTCTTGGACGATCTGCTAGAATAGAGCGAACTGTCTACCCGAACACTTTCAGCGCTTGTTCTAGATTAGCACGGTTCCTTACCAACACCTAGCATAACATGATTTCTAAAGGTGGCTACCGACGATAGACACCTCTACAAATCGTTTCCTAGAAATCATTGAAAAATCATAAATTGGTCCAAATAGCAACTTTTTTAATCCGGGGAGGCCTCACCAGGTGCACATAATTTTCCCGTGATTTTTCCATTCATAGTGCTCATAATCTATTTGTTGATACCACTTATAGGCCAGTTCCGTATCATGATTCGGCTTACGCTGCTTGTAGCTTCCATGCAATTCTAACTCAAGTCATGGAAGAACGCTGGTACTATGCAGGTTCAATGCCCACATCACATGGAGTACATGGCACTTACATTTTGCTTTAGGTCCTTGCCCATTTGCAATGCCTCTAGATTTGTTCAATATTTGGTGGACATGTGCTCATTCTTATGAAACAAAAGAGAGTGCACTAATTCATGCGTTGATATACATTAATGTTGTGCTTGTTACCCAACTAGGGATGTTCGCCAAACGAACTATGTCACGACACGTGGTAACCAGCAGTAGTGGGTGTGCTCCACTCATTTTTTGGTACTTTGGTTTGTAATGACTTGGTCTCTACCTATTAAAGCATGTATATATGTTTTCTAATTAAGATGTATTCATATATTGAATCTTTTGAGCAATATGATGGCAATGAGATGATATATATGATGCACAAGTAATATTAGATAGCAACCTCTATTTAATTGTAATAATAATTCATATACAAAAGTGGGAAAATAAAGATCCCTGCCGGTTAAAGCCACTAACCTCCATTTAATTCTATTTAATTGTAATATAGGAAATCAAAGTTAATAAGGATGGTTTACTCCAATAAAGGTGGTGGATAAGTTTTGATCAGGTTAAAATTATGCTGATGGCATTACAATCACAACATAGAAACCTAAACTATTTACAAGTGACACCTATATCTACTCCTTCGGTGTATATACATCTGCAGATGAAAACTAAGCACCCACAAAACATATCCTTGCACTCTTATTAGGCCTAGTTTTGGTGGACAATGGTTTGACCACAGCCAAACATGGCTGTACATATTACCATGAATGGGCGTATAAAGCATTATTTCAAGCATCATGAGTCATTGTAGGGGGTTCTCTTAACTCCAATTCCACTGGACATCCAAAAACAGGCGTAGGCTTCGGATCCTTCTTGTAGGCTTCATCTTTGAAGCACAACTTCCACCTGAACTGTGTCACTAGATAGTGCATGGCCACCATTGTTTCTACCCTAGAAAACTCAGTTCCAGGGCACATTCTTGGCCCTCCCCCAAACGGCAAGAAGCTGTATGGTGGGATTGATGAGCGCTTCTCAAAGCGAGATGGGTCAAACTTGGTGGGTTCAGTGAAGAACCTGGAATCCATATGTGTAATGCTTTGGGCTGCGAAGACCTGCCATGTTGTGAAACAAAAGCCTCTTGATTAATTATTCTGACAATGAAAAATAAGCGAGTTGGTGAAAATACGTGCACAAAAAGATGCCTACTTTCCAGCCTTTGGGGATGTGATAGCCCTGATATGCGATGTCCTTGGTAGCCGTTCGGAAGCTCCCAAATACTGGAGGCACTGTCCGCAGTGTCTCGAATGCCACCCTCCATGTGTACTTCATGCTTGAAACATCTTCCCAAGTTAGAGCACCATCTTTTCCTTTTTTGTTTGCGATCTCATCTTGCTCTGCTATCACGTATATGATGTTAAAATATGATCACTTTGAATGAAAGGTGAGACCATGTAGATTCAAAAGTGTAGGCACTGGTCCACACTAACAGTCTAACACATACCTTCAGTGATTTTAGCAAGGACGTCTGGCTCATTTGCGAGGTGGCGCATCATGAAGGTGATTAGAGCTGAGGTGGTACCGTGTGCGCCGATGATAATGCCCATCACGTTGTCAACAATGTCTTCTAGGGTGAGGGAATGCGCACCCTTGGAGCGCAGAACGAGCATGTAGGTGACAAAGTCAGTGGTTGAAATAGTGCATCGTTCGTCCAACAATGACTCCTCCCTCTTCTTGGCAAACATTACGATGGTTTCCCTAATATTAGCACTGGACCTCATGCCCTTGCCGAATCTGGTGAAGGGTATGTTCACTGGAAATGACAAGATTGCATCACCTAGCAACTGGAAGTCGGTAGCAAGGGCATCTACTATGGCGGATGCTTCTTCGCCAAAGATAACAGAGCAGATGACCCCAAGCGTAAGACTCCTTGCCAGCGGCAGGACCTACAAGGTCATCAAAAACACACATTTTACGTCTTAACCTTATAGTTGTTTTTGTAATAAGCCTTATAAGTAGCGAATTTAGTTGTTGTGAGTGGGCTATATATGGTACCAATACCGTCTACAAGGTTAATCTTTGACTAACAATGTCTACAAAAATATAGAACTTGATGGAGACAATTATGTACTATGAAAACTAATTACTACGAATATAGTAGAATCAACCGTAAGTTGTATATCTATTTAGAATTTTAATTACTGTTGGTCAAAGCTCAGAATGTTTGACATAGAACAAAATTAAATAGAAACACATAATTTATAATTGGAGGGACCACGCGCGAGGGAGTATATATCTTGCACTGTAAACAGAATTCACTATACAAATGAAAAAAAAAATATCCAAGTGTCAATCATTTTGTCCTTACGTTGACAGTGTTGCGACCAACCCAGTTGAGCTTCAGCTGCCTTCTGACCTCGCCGTCCATCTTCCCCACGTACCTTCTGACCATCTCAGGCCTCAGGTACCCCTGCAGTGCACTACGCACCTGCTTCAGCTCGTCGCCGGTGAGCGTCAGAATGGAGCGCCGGAGGAGGGAGCGAAGCGCACGCGTCTGCGTGAGGATGAGGCCCTCGTTGGTGAATATGAAATGGTTGGCCCCCGTCCCAGCGAGCAGCACTGTCGGCGAGCCCAGCACGGACATCTTGGACACCGGACCATATCTCTTTATCCGCGTCCGGAACCACTGGTCGTCTGTGTTGGTGCGTAGAGCGTGGAGGAGGGAGAAGGTCTGGCCGATGACCGGGATGCCGAGGTTGCCGGGAGGGAGATTGTAGGTTGAGCAAGACCTGTGGTTTTTGGTGACGAAGTGGAGGAGAAAGGCTATCGCTGCTGCAGCTGCAAGGAGCACGATGAAAGCCATTGGAAGTATGCTGGGAGAGGGTTGCAGGGAGCACGATGAAACTTGGGGGTTGGTTAGCGGCGTTGGATACTTAAAAGTCTGCTTGTGTAGATATATAGTGCTGTGTAAAGTGGAGATTAATCCATATGTATCTTGTTTTCCACATTTAGTTTTGACATTCATGTCATCCCAAATGAGTAGGAAAAGCATGTACTATTGAAATAGACCATGCCCCATATGCACGAGGTCGATGAGTTTTGCTACTGTGTTTAACTTGAGCACATGAAAAACATGTGATTATGACTTGGACGGAGACTGCAATTTTCAGTTCTCCGTACTACTAAAAGGGTATATATGTTGATAAGAATCTGTGTTTCATGGTGTGCAACTAACAAAATTGCCATGTCTACGTGTGTGGTGGTTTGTTCTTCTCTACTTTTATTATCCAAAATGGATGCAGTGACACGTTGTGACCACAAGAATGTGTGGCAAGAAACGTACGTATGTACAAAAGAAAAGAACAGGATGGTTCATCGTCTGAAAATGCTGGTGAAGACGTGCCGTGAACTTGGTTCACAGAAGAGTGATGTTGAGGTATGTTAAAATCGATATGGGACGGAAGCTAGGGTACCAAGGACAAGTAGTCACAATCCCGTGCAGATAACTAGACAAGTATTGCTCTCCACGTTTTTCATGTGTATAGAACTACTTTCCTGTATCCTGAATGGACGAGGACTATCACAAAATTGAATGAATTCTGAAAGACGGAATCAGCACGAGTTAATTAGTTCCATGTCGGTGTAACTACTTGTAATGCCAACAAGTCGAGAGCAGATCAGGGAGCTTCATCACAAGCATTTTTTACCTTCAAAGCGTACAAATCTTTAAGCACAACTAAAAGATTAAAATTGAATCGGGCATAACACGAGTTTTGCTGAATCACAGAGTGATGTATGACAATTATCCATAATTCAGTGATGCATAGCAATTTTCTTTTCTTAGGTGCCACGTAGTTTTAGACTGTGTTCATCTTTTGAAAATACTTTTTCTGGTGAAACTTCTATGCAAATCAGCTTCGCTCTGTGTTTCAAAAGCAGCTGCTTGGAGAGTAAAACTGATTAATTACTGTTAACCTTAAATAACAATGGTCGACTATTGTATGGTGACTCTAATCCTATTTGTAATAGGACTTAAGAGAGATATGATATTAGGACTTCTATTTCTATTAGGACTTGAGCATAGAATCCTACTAGGAGTAGGACTTCTAGTAGGAGTAGTACTCCTTGTATGTATGAAAATCTTGTAGGGGACTATATAAACAAGGGGTAGTGGCCATAGGCATCAACCAAGCTAACACATGGGTCATGGGGGCTCCTCTCGAAGGCTTATAAGGAGGAATTGTGAGCGCTCGGGAGGATTAAGCTATACAGTTCTATTCGATTAGATTCTTATATAGAGCAAGAATTAGTGGGTCCTAGAGGGTCAAGTACGTTTGTGACAGAGAGACAATCACTTATACTCTTTTGTAGCTGTGCTTATAGAATTTGTTGTTGGCTTCGTCAAAACCTAATCTCTTGTCATGATTGGTTCAACATCGTCATCTAGTGTATTTTACGAGATTCATCTACGTCGTTCTTGATACGGTGCAACTTTGTGCCATACTCGTAATATCATTTCAAAGATTGGAGGACTGTTGCACTCTACATATACCGCTCGTAATGTCATACTCGTAATATCATTTCTAATTCGGGTGAACTCTACATATACCGCTCGAGAGGTTCAATGTAAATCATTTATCCAATTCTATTTCTCCTACATGGTACGGTATCATGAGACTAGGTTAACCCAAGCCACCACTCGATTCCACACTGCGCACCGTTCTTTGAGAACTTATTTCCTAGTCAAAGTTGATACTATTATCAAATCTCATGATGCAATCTTCTTAAAGAACTTATTTACTATGAAAGATTTCAGTAGCAATTCAAGATTTCATTTTGAGATAGTTCCTGAATTTACAACAAGTCTCCGATTGAGTCTTACGAACAACCATAAGAGGAATTCCTTTACAGGAACAACCATAAGAGGAATTCCTTTAGAGAAACAACCATAAGAACACGATGCTTGGGATCCTCCATCTTTAACTCCAACAAGGTTGAGGACGACGTGGAGTAGCTCGCCGGTATGTATCTCCTGGACCTGTTTGGTACAGCTCAGCTTCACGGTGAAACAACTTTTGCTATCTTTAGATCGAAAAGCAGCTCAACCAGTGAAGTTGAATCCGTTTTTTTAACCGTTTAGCAAAACGGCTTCTCGTGGTGGATAAAAATATCAAATGACCATAATACCCACCTTATTTTTCTTTTCTTTCTTTTCTTTTTTCTTCTATCCCCAGCCTTATCTAACACCCACCGTCCACCGGCTCTGAGATGCCCCACCCTGCCACGAGCCGGGCCCCTCCCCGCCAGGAGACCCGCCCCCGATCGAGCATGCCCGCCCGCCAGGAGCCTGCAGCTTTGGGGCAGATGTGCCCATGGCCACGCTCAGCCCCACCAGTGTCAGACGAAGTTGGGGCAAGCTGGATTTTTCAGCTTCAACATCTACTTTTTGCATGTGAGAGCGCATCTTCAGGAGATTGCGAGGGCAAGTTGTTTGCTGAGAACCGTTTGGTGGAGAAGTGGCAAAACAACTTTGTGAAACTGTACCAAAATCTCTACCAAACAGGCCCTCACGAAGATAGTTATAGCTCAACAAAAACAGTGAACCGCACTTGTAGTTCCAGTTATGGAAAAAAAATAGCGGGCTATAGCGGCACTATAGCAGCGCTATAGCGGTGGGGGAAGCCTGTCGCTAAGCTATTGGTCTTTTTAACGCTATGACGACTTTCGCCGCTATTTGCCGCTATAGCGCCGCTAAACGCTATGACGATTTTCTACTTATTAATTATCATTTGCTACTAATTTGGTATTTTGGACGGATAAACTTTCATGAATCATATTGTAATGTCATTTGGTATTTGGTAATGTTATCTAGAATTGTGGAACTTTAGAAACATATTTGTGTTCATCGAATTTCATATTTGTCATGTTTTTTTATCAATTACTGGTATTTTTCATGTTTTTTTTATAAAAACGCTATCTAGCGTAGCGCCGCTATAGCTGCATAGCTTCTGGAAAAAAATTGCCGCTATTTTCGATAGTCCGCTATTTTAAACAGTGGTTCCAGTCTTTGCACCTATTCAGGTGAGAGCCTCCTCTCTAAGTGACCCTAAAAAAGGGGGAAAAAGTTAACTTGAGTCCGACAGGAAATGTACAGTTTACTTCATGTTCACAAACGAATCTTTCATTCTGCTTTTATAATGAAAATTTACGGCAAAACAAAAGAAAAAACTAACATTAAACGGCCGTGAAACAAGATTTACAGTACACCTTGAAAGAATCATACAAAGCCAAGTGGAGACGACGAACTGCGAATCGGCAAATTCCTTATTACTGGATCAAATTTTCAGCTCGTAGCCTCATACATCACCATGCATCAAGATCTTCAGCTCGTAGCCTGCCATGCATACCTAGTACAGATACACATCGATCTCCACGACGCCTCCCTTGGCCAAGTCGTAGTCGAAGCTCCTGCTGAGCGCGTACCCCCGCGCGCCACGGAACCGGCCGGTGCCGCCGACGATCACGGACTCGCGGACGGCCAGGTCGGTGTCGACCCTGCCGCTGACCACCAGCGAGCTGCCGGCGTGCTCGCCGGCCTCCATCACCAGGTGCATGCTCAGGGCGTTCACGGAGCCGCGGTCCGCCACGCGCACCGTGAACCCCTGCGCCGTGCCCACGCGGGGGCTGCCGCGCTCGGGCCCCTCCGTGAGCGCGTTGTTCATCACGGCGACGTCGCCAAACCGGCGCGGGGCTGGGTCCGCGTCGTTGCTGCCGGTGGTGGTGGAGCTGGAGTTGGAGAGCGGCGGCCTTCCAGGCACGATGAGCGCGGCCGTCGGGTTCTCGCCGGTGTACTGGTCGTGCATGTAAAAGTGGAGGTGTGTTCCGGCGGTGAGGCCGCTGCTGCTGCGTGTGTCATGGCGGAAGTAGGTCGCTGCAGCGACGAGGATGGCGGAGGCGAGGAGGACTGTAGGGATCGTGCTAGCCGCCATGGCCTGCTTTGCTATAAAAAAATGAAACAAAAATTTAGCTCGTCATGTCTCCGTTCAGTTAGATTGTGGATACGATTATATAAGGCAGTGTGGCATCAAAACGAATTCGTCAGAATTCTAGACTAAGACAACGACTGAATAATGGCGTCAAAACGAAATCGTCAGGAGGTTTGAGGTCCTAGTAGTTGGCCCCAATTCTTCGAGGAAATGTCACACCCACGTTTATAGCGTGCATTATCCATATTTGTGTGTGGATGGTAGTGAGCCGGTGATAAGGCTCCTGTGGACTGAACGAACTCGTTACTGTTCTACAAAATTTTGTTAAAAGTTTGCCAATACATATGTTTACAAGTGAGCGTAGCTATCAGAGGTCCATCAAACAGCCAGTATATGTACACATGGCCTCCGTGTACGTACAAAGTCCAGAGGAAATATGTACACACATGAATATACTCGTGACTGTCACGTGCAAAACATGTACGTACACGTGGCGTATACTTAACGTACTGAGTACAGTCTTGGCTCACCGACAGCAACTTACTACATGGATTGAGCCACTCTAGCTTGACCACCACTATTATGAAGAAGCAAAGTGAAGGCGAATTAATCATAGATCAGTTGGTTGGGTTTCTTGTGGTGGAACCTGCCCACCCGGGTTAGCATGGGTGCTCGCATTTTTCTGGATTTTTTTTTAGGATTTATTGGCGCTATACTTTCAGTGGTAGGCGACGTCCTCGTCGACAGCGAGTCACCTGTGGTGACTTTGTGAATCTCAAGATTTGCCATCTCAGTTCTTCGGAGGTGCTCATAGGGGTAGGGTTTGCGTAGTGTGTTCATAGGGGTGAGTGTGCGTGCGTGTTGTGGGCGTCTATATTGTACTGTGTAATTCTAGAAAAAAAGAAAAGTTAAGGCTCTTCATACATGGAGAACCACCAAAGCAACAGGTTTATTAAAACCTACTCTCATTTGTGGCATGATAGAATTGGGAGCATAGGCGGTTTTTGTAAAACATGTTGTGAGCGGTTAGGATCTTTTTCTCTCCATCTCTCATGATCAACACAACTTGAAGAAAGTAGAACACATAGACAAATAGAAGGGGGAACTATTCTTTCCTCTCTTAATATTGATGATCATAATGTAGAAGAACTCCCACGTCTATGTAGTCCTGCTAAGGTCTAAAAATCCGGTAAGAGCCCAAATAGAGAATGGATTATGATTAAGATTCCTCGTCATTTCCTTTTAGGTTAGAGTATGCATGTTTTATAATACTTCCCCTTGAGTACCATGATATGCACATATCTCATTAAAAACTTACCCAAAAACCTAGTGGGGAAAACAATTTCGAAGAGAAGAGTACATCTTATCCATAAGTTGTGTTGCATGTATTGCCTAGATAAAAACCTTGTCCCAGAAACTTTCATATACAAACTCATATAGCGAAAAAGAGCACAACACTTAACTTTCTTGGTCATTTATACTTTAGGATCTTCTGTTTTTTTCTTTCACGAATAAATATTGATATTATGGTTCATGCATTAATAGTTATATTTCAGCAAATATGATCGACTTGATCTTTGTACTTTTAGTGGTTTACCATTAGGGTATATTAAGTCAAATATACCCCCCTCTCATAAAGCCATCCCTTGACTCATAAGACTGAGTCATAGCTTGAACCCGAGATGAATCTGCCAATTTCCTTGAGGATTTTCTCATGATATTTTGTAGCAATATTGTGATTGGTTTTTACAAACTTTCTAGCTTAACTATAGAGCTTCAATAGTTATTAAATAACTCTAGTGATTAAGCTTATAGTTTGGAAGATTTGGGAGATCAAAGTTAATGGGTCACTTGGGTTTAGTTTGGATTTAGTCGTCTCAAATGCCATGTTTCTGCTAGAGTTTGAATTCAAATTTGAATGTTTAAACTTTGAAACCCGACATGTTCACCTTGCATGTCAACATGGTAGTATAGGCTACAACATCTGGTCATACTCTTGGGTAAGTTTATAGTAATTTGAATGAAATTAGATCTGGATAATTGCAAAGCTATGCAGTACTTAAAAGACCGGGCTGTTCTGGTGTTTTGGTGTTGCTCACACCTCAAATAGGCCAACTTGGGCTGTTCTGGCCATAGTCATTAGGACCGGACCAGCGGTTCGACCGGTAAAAGAAAAACCAGAGAGTATAGCGGTCCGGTTCACTTAAAAGACCGTTCATGTAATCGGAGCATTAAAAACCGGTTGAACCGGCCTGCTGCTGCCTCCTGGTATCCCACGTGAGCAAATGGCGTTGGGCCCGGCCTGTCTGCTATTACGGCCTGCTGGCCTGCCTGCGTGTTCTTAACCGTCGAACCAGCGGCTCAACCGGTTCTTAATGGCCAGACCAGTGAATCAGTGAACCGATGGCCTCACCGGTTCGATGTCCGGTCCGATCCTAATAACTATGGTTCTGGCAAAACCCTCCTAGAAAATGTCACCTAACTTGCTGGCCAAGTGCATGTTTTTACTGGGCTTGGTCAACTGAGTGCATGTTTTTTCTAGGCTTGGCCGAGTGCACAGTGACGGAACTAGGGGGCGCTGGCAGGGGCCATGGTGCCCCCCCAATCCAATGGAATTTCATTTTAGTACCCCTGTATAAATATCAATTTACAACAAAATAAGACACCAAATCACACACTTCTTATCATAATATTGTGATTTTTTGTTATAAATACTAAATAATATATGTAAAAGCATTGAAATAATTTTTGAGACATACACTTGTGTATGTATTTATTATATTAAGAGGTATCATATATTTGTCCGGCCCCCCTTAATCAAAATTGCCGGTTCCACCTCTGCGAGTGCACGTTCTCGAAACTCTGTATAGATCTACAACTACCCTGAAATTTGGCCCAAAAGTTTTTAATTCTGAGCATGGAAAGCCTAACTGAATGAAAAGCCCAACAACCTACTTCACCCGCGACAAGGCCTGCATCTTCGCTGACCGCTCGCCTGATGCCCTACTCCCTTACCCCTTCCCATGGCGGCCGCACAGCAACACGGACGGGGGACGGCCACTGGCTGCTGTGCATCGGTGAGAGTTGTCCAGCAGCGCCATGACGCAGGTAGCCGAGAAGCTGATGCCGTCCCCATCTGTCCTGACCCCGACACTCTCCAAGTCCAACTAAGCACCTACGCCGCACTTAGGAGCTGCCCCCATGCTCTACAGCGGCTGTGCGCCACAGTGAGACTGGGCTGCCAGCGGCACTGCGCAGGCCTCTATTTGCTGGCCGCTTCTGCTGCTCTTGCTGATTTGCCTCTGCTGTTCTGCGTCTCTGGTGAGTAATTGGTGATTGTGAAATATGATTCTTTGTTATTCACCATATGAATTTCTGGTTTGCTGTAGAAACATGTGCTGGTGTCCTCAAGGAAAATAAGACATTTCTTACACCTGTCTTTTGCAATTAAATATTCTGTGATTTTAGTATAGACACATATAGGATGCAGCTGTGGTGACCGTGATTACTATGACCAGAGAATAAAAATCACCAAATTTGTAACATTTGTGTGATAAAAGGGAGAGAGCAAAGAGCTACTGGAAATAATTGTCAATTGGCCAATTTTTCCACTTTTATGCATGGTTTGGATAATTGGATGGTAAGACTGTAGAAGATACATTGCAAACCTATCACCTCAGTTCTATCCTCGATGCCTACCTATCACCTCACCATATTCCCGCTGGCAGTATGGGCAAGAAAACAAATCGACAAGATCAAAAGATCCTTCCATTGGAAAGGAGATGAGAACGCCAATAGAGGGCATTGTTTGGTAAATTGGCCGACAGTGTGCATGCCCAAAGAGTTGGGTGGCTTAGGGGTGCCAGATTTGGAAAAAAAATTGGAAGAGGCTTGCGCCTTAGCTGGTTGTGGCAGGAGTGGGTTCATGTCTCCAAACCCTAGGCAGGGACGGTATTGTTGTGCAATGACCTAGACCGTCTACTCTTCAACGCCTCGACCATAGTAGCAATTGGGGATGGCAACAAGACACGGTTCTGGCACCATAATTGGCTAGACGGCAAAGCCCCAAGATACTTAGTACCACATCTTTTTGAGCTTGTACACCGTAAGAACAGGATGGAGCGCCAGGAACTGCAAAACGACAATTGGATCCGATCACTCAGGACGCGAATCACAACTTCCGTTCACATACAAGAATTCATCGCCCTCAGGATCAGGAATCAGGATGTGCAGCTCACACCCGATACGCGGGACTCCATAGTTTGGAGATGGACAGCCAATGGAAAATACTCCACATGTTCGGCATATAGGATACAATTCCGTGGCTCACACCGCAAGTTACAGGCGGACCACATTTGGAAGGCTAAGGCAGAAAATAAATGCAAGGTGCATGCCTGGATACTAATGCATGACAAAATCCTTACGGAGGATAATCTGCAAAAAAGAGGGTGGCCACATCACGAGCACTATGTTTTGTGGAATGGACCGTTGGAGACAGGGCTGCACCTTTCTTTGTTATGCCCCATCGCCAAAGCCATCTGGAGCAAGGTATTATCTTGGAAAATTTTTGATGTGCAGCTACCCCAACAAGAGCCCAGTGTCTGGCCGACTGGTGGGAGGATGTGGCAAGCATGATACCGAAGCAAGAATGCTGAATGTTTAACGGAGCGCTTATTTACATTGTGTGGAACATTTGGAAGGAAAGGAATAGGAGGATTTTCGAAAATGAGCACCAAACGGCAGAGCAAGTCGCCTATCTAGCCAAGGAGGACATTGTTCAAAGGCGTATGGCCATGTGTATTGCGGGGTAAAACACATGCGTGAGCGGTGGTTGTTGTTTCTTGTTCCTATGAGTGTTCTTAACCACTGTGGGTGCCATTGTACATAAACCTCCTTGTCCTTCTTAATTGAGCGGCAGATCTCCTGACTTTACATTAAAAAAATACATTGCAAACAAAACATATCTCATTGGCGAAAAATGATCCACCCAACTGTTTAAAAAGTGTTTTGTGATTGTACCAAACCGTTTATAGAATTTACTTGAATTATATTGTACTGTATATTAGATATTTGGAAAGACATAACCTATAGATTTAAATCCTGGGTCAGCCACTTGTCCGAACTGAAGACCTATAGCTTTGTCTACATGAGGGTGGGCCCAGGCCTAGGGCCTCTAGGGCCATTGCCCTAGTCATGGCACAACGAGTCCAGGACTATCTACATAATTTTGGCCCAATACAACAGTCAACAGCCCAACAAGCATTTTTCTTTTTTCTTTTTTAGAAATAACAAGCATTTTACTTGGACGCCCGTCTTTGTGTTACCCACCTGACCGCCGCCCTGGCTCGGCCTACCGCGCCATTCCTCGTGACTCGCCAGCGCGGCAGCGCCGCCAACCGGCCACTCGAGCCCGCCGTCGGACTGCCGACTGCCGGAGCCCAGAGCCTCGGCACCGCGTGTCGTCATTCATGGGAGTATGGGACAGGGCCCAGGCCACAGAAGCTCGCTGGCATCTGCGGGGGAAGGCCATTCCTGCCCCAGCGCCTCGCGGCCGCGCCGCCCTGTGGTAGCGACAGCGAGTCCGAGTCAGCAAGGCAACAAGTTGGCAGGCGGCAGCGACTCATCCAGGTCCAGGCAGCGTCTAGCGAGGTGCGAGCAGTGAGGCAGGCAAACAACAGCAGGACGAGAAGAGCAGGAGCAGTGGAGCAAGTCCCCATCCTCCTGGTATTTTTCACTTCCGGGCTCTAAAGTTCCACTCTATATATATTCCAAAATTGAGACCTTTAGGACTACACTTTAGTTTCAGACATTCAGTGGTATGCTTTAGTCTCAGACATCCAGTACTTGTATACATTCAATGATTCAATTGGATTGGAAACTCAAATTAGTGTCTAAGTTTACAGATTGCTCAAATGATACAAAATAGAAAAGGATGCTGCCACGCACGCGCACGCGGAGAAAACTTCACCCGCACGGTCTGCCTTCTTCCTCCTCAGTCCTCCCCACCCCCGCCTCCTCCCCCGCATCTTCCCCGCCTCTGGCGTTGCCTCCCCCGCTGCCTCCTCACCCTGCTCGGCTCTGGATCCGGCAACGCCGCCCTTGCCCTCGCCCTCGACCTCGTCGTCGCCCCCATGTCCACCACCTCCCACCGCCCACCGCCCACCGCCCACCACCCACGGTGACCTCCTCCTCCCCCTCCCCCGTCCCGCATGCGGCCATGGTGACCTACGGCGAACTCCGGCCATGGTGCCCTCGCCCCGACCTGGCCTGGCCGCCTCCACCGTCGCCAAGGCCCCTAAACCGCCCTACCGCCGTCCCCACCACCTGGCTGGCCTTCCTCCCCCGAATCCCTTCTCTTCTAAGTCCGCCGGAGTTAGGGTTAGGGGCAGCGGTGGTGCGGTCACCGGAGTTGGAGAAGAAGGTAGGGTTGGGGCGGCGGTGTTGTAGTAGTCAGAGTGGGGTAGCATCTTCTCGTCTTCGGTTGTGTTACGGCCATCAGATGTGCCGTCAGATGCACGGGCACGGCTGTGGTCTCCGGTGAAGTGGTCATGGCCGTCAGATGCGCGCATCGGACGACAGCGAGAGTGTGCGCGCCGAGCGATGAGTTCCTATGGGCTCATAAGTTAGCGTATCCAAATAGAAAATACAAAATGAAGAATGATGATGAGGACATGGAAGATGCGTGGGCGCGGACACACCAAGTTATTAGACATGTTAGTTCAAGCAAGATTTCCAATTTGGAAACTTTTATGTGTTGTTCTTCTCTATATGTGACCTATATGCGTCACTGAAATGTGGCCCTAGACTTCATCAAATCCTGGGTCCGCCATATTTACTCATGTAGGTTTACTCTAAAACCGGCGTGTGTAACTTTGGACACACATATATATTTACTCATGACCTTATATTATGTTTTGCTTAGTATATGTGCACTTGATTTAAATGGCCATGCTCAAAGCATATGCGCCCATTTATACAAGTGAGAGCACATGTATATCAGTTTAGATTTTGTCTTTTTGCCAAACAACAATAAGCTATAGATGACATGGCACCTAGTCGATTTCAACATTTAGTTATCAATTTCATTGGATTATATGGTCTATGTAGGAAAGACAATTTCCACTACATACAAGGAAAAAATGTCTTTTTCTATTGGAATATTTTTATACACGAGGAATGACATGCATGATCACTTCACCTTTACACATGTTACAGCCTTAGCCACATCATAAATGTTCCACTTTATAAACAAGACGAGTATGTAAAGTTATGACTTGCTCACGTGTATCAAAGCCATTATCAACGGACTTCGTTGTAGTGTTGTACTCATGGTTAAAGCTTGCATAGTGGTTAGGTGAGAATTTATTCAGCAATGAATGAACAAATGCTACAAGATCGACACTAATTGAAATCCCAGTTTGTATAGATGCATGCACACACATAGAATGTACAAAATTAGAATGCTCATAGCTAAACATGGCAATTGCCACATAGTCCCTGTGTTCTTGATTACAATTTACTTTAGTATTGTCTAAACCCCATATTGTATCACTTTGATAGAGTTTTAAATCAACTTTGACGACAAAAAAGCACTGTCAAGACATCTATCATAAATAATTCACCAAAACAAACTTTATGTTCAAAATATTCGATAGATTTTCTAGGAAGTTTGTCAAAATTAGGGAAAATTAACTTTGGGAAAAGCTAGAGGGTGTAATAAACCAGAGTGGAGGGAGTATATGTTGAACTCTAGCTCTTTATTCAAATAGGTGTACATCTAGCTTTTACAAATGTCAAAGTTAACTTGTTTCCATACATAATGGAGAAGGACAAATTTTATGCAACTTTTGTTCCTTGCACTAGCTACAATATGAGTCTAACCTTTAATATACAGAGGAAGAGGACCATGGCCAACCTCCTAGCTATCTGAAACATAAGTTAGGGCTCATAGGCATAGATCCATTCATGAAAAAAGACAACATGATGACTAATGTAAACCTTACTCAGCAATGTTGCAAAAACTCGAGAAAAAAAGAGACTAAGATGGGGCTCAGCATTGATTTTTCTATCGAAAACTACAACATGCAAACCTGAAGTTCCATGACAAGACACTCCTTCATATTCTTTTTTGCTAGAACAATGTGCCATTGGTACACATATTTAATTCCTTAGAGTCTACGTAAAGAGATTTTGGCTTTGCATACACATGAGTTGAATCTTGTCCCAAAGAATCGAAGATCGAGAACATTGGGCTAGTAAGCTTAATCGCTTGCACTGGGCACCCATTTTGGGCAAGGGAAATCCAATATGGATAAAAATATTTAAAAAGAATAACTTCAATTAACACCTAATCGAAATGAGGGGAAAACTCTTGATGATGGCTTCCTTTACTGTTCCTTTTTTATTTACCATGGAATTGCATGAGTCTGTATAATTTGTGTCATGGGTGCTCATATAGATGTGATAAGATATTCCTTCTGTTTCTATATGACATGTGAGTGCAGGCTACGTTGGTTCTAGTGTTTTGAGCTACGCCTAGTAAACCGTCATGTTAGTAATGAACTTCTTAATTTTTTACATTTAACATTTCACAGCATGCCCTTTGTCACATGCTAAACATAGAAGGAAATTGCAATCCATTTGACTAATCTAGGAGTCAGAATGGCACTCTAGGTGGGTTCTCTCTAGAAACTGTAGGATGGTAGTGGCCGGTTGGTACTTCAATCTTGGGGCTTTACTTTTGGATTTAGATTGCCCAAATCAAAATATTATTTTAGTAGGTGTGGTGTGCTTCAGCAAGGATCCCATCTTTGGTAATGCTACCTAGCTAAAAAGTGAGCTAGCATGTTGAGCAGCAAATTCCACTCAAGTTTGGTGTCCCTCCGCAAAATTTTCATTAATTTATTCATGGGATAATAATTTAAACTTTTTATTCGTTATAAATTTTTTTTGGCCAAAAAGTTTCATGCTTTGTTGTTACCAACATCGAAATTGTTACTGATAATAGCGTCCAGCTGATTTAATAACCTTGGTGTTGTTAAGTTCATGGGCTGCAAAGATTCCTTATATGTCTACAGTATTTTGGTGGCATGCCCAATTTAGGTTCTAGTTAACAACTTTGGAGGCACATATAGGTTTGCTCATGAAGTTATATTATGTTTTCCTTGGTATACGTGCACCTGATTTGAACGGCCACAGTTAAAGCATGTGTGCCCATCACTTTCTCAAAATAATATATCACAGATGTAAGTACTCAGCTGCAAGCACATACAGTCGCACCTATCTTATAAACACACACCCGAACGAGAACATTCAAGAGGTCGGGCTGGCACGTCTTTGGATTAATGAAGTAATGTGGTATTGTCTACATATTAACCAAACATGTGTCTTTAATTATGATTTGATGGTTTCAGTTGTATATACAAAGAACACAATTAAGAAATAGAGTCAGCTAAATCTCAATCAATATATTGATTATTTCTAGGAAGTTGCACACACCGGTATGAGAGCACACTTATCAAGTACAACTCATATGTAATCTAGAAGATGGCACCTCCAACAATGGGTTGCTGCCATGACAAGGTAGTGTTCATCAAAGATATTTGTTTGAATGGCGACAATTGTTGCCGCTGCAGGAAGTCTGCAGCCAATGGGTTAGCAACTGCTAGTGGGTTAACTGGAAGCAGCTGTTGTTGTTGCAGGTATGCGGCGGTGTTCGCCACAGCCAGCTGGTTGAATGGAAGTAGCTGTTGCTGTGGCAAGTAGGCAGGAAGGTTTGCGACGGCTAGTTGACTAAGCACTCGTAGGATTTGTTGCAGTTGCTATTGTTGCAGGTATGCAGCGGCGTTGGCCGCAGCCAGTGGGTTGGATGCATGCAGCTGTTGTTGTTGCAGGTAGGCGGCAGGGTTCGCCACAGCTAGTTGACTGACCGCTAATAGGACCTGTTGCAGTTGTTGTTGCTGCTGGTATATAGCAGCGTTTGCCAGAGCCAGTGGGTTGGATGCAAGCAGCTGCTGTTCCAAGTAGGCGGCAAGGTTCGCCACGGCGAGTTGACTGAGTGCTGGCTGCGCTGCGATGGTCTGTACGGTAAGATGGGCCAAGGATTGCTGTTGTAATTGGGCAATTGGTTGTTGTAAGATGCTCGTCGCAAGCGCTTGCTGTATGCTATAGGCCTACACAGCTGGGTGTTCGAAGCCCATAGGAGTAAGTGATTGGAGGAGCTGTAGAATAATACCATTAGGAGCAAGTGAGCACTGCGGAATAATGACCGCAGTTGTAGCGCTCACTGAAAGAGCAAGGAGCACAAGGTGGGCAAATATCTTGGGAGCCATTGTTGCGAGGACGTTGCTAGTTGTTTTCACTCACTACTACAGAAAGTCAATTCACCGCCGGGACCTTCACCAATAGTTTTGAGATAAGCGGTGGTGATACGTATCGCCGCCGGCTCATGACCTATGGGGCCCCTCCTGGCCGAATAACCGGCGGTGATGAACGCTTTTGCCGCCAGCTCGGCGTATGATCCGGCGGTGAACAAGATGTCAGGCTTCACCACCGTATCATACGCCGAACCGGCTGTGCAATGCTTACCACTGCCGGCCGTTGATCCAATGCGCGACGCATGAAGGAGGCATCACAGATAACAAGTTTTCACCGCTAGTGCCAAGATTGATGGGCCCAACAGAGTAAGATCTAACGGTGACGCTTATGTAGCACCGTCGGTTCCTCGTATGGTCCGGCGGTGGAAATCGCAATAATTGAAGACGTCTTCCCGCCCTTTCCTGCCGGTGGTGATAAAGTTTTACCGCCGTTTTCTTCGGACATTGGATACCATAATCTACGATCCGACGAAAAAACTTAGAATAGCCATCTGCTATCCAATTAACCCGGCGGTGATAAAGGGCAGCAAGAGCAATGGAAACCCCATTTCCCTCTTCTTCACTCGGTTAACTTTTCTTCAGCCGTGGCTCCCCCTACCATTTTTGGCGACCGCCAAGCTAGTGAAGGCTGTTGATTTTCGAAGGATGTTCTATATTGGGTGGTATGTAATTAATGACCCTTTTCGTGTAGCTACCTTAGTTTGATCATGTGGTTAAATTGTGACAAAAAATCATCCTTTTTTGTTTTAGAGTGCTTGATTTCGAAGGCGGCTTCTCTGATTCTTGATTGTTGCGTGCGCACCAAATTACCCTACAGTCACTATGTATCCTATATTTTTTATTGTATTAAATTGAATGACACATTAGTTAGTTCCACCTTTGTCGATCAGTAAAGTTGCATTGTGTTAATCTCATATGGATCGTGTGGATGGATGTACTTGTTGCCCCATTCATGGAAGGCATTGACCCCTTTGTGAATGCAGCCCCTGTGGTTAAATTGTGACAAAAAACATCCTTCTTCCTAAGGGAGTGCTTATTGATTTCTTCTTATTGTTGATTGTTTCGTGCACACCAGATTACCCTATGGTACGGTCAGTTTGTATCCCCCAGTTTGCTTGTACTAAATTGAATGACTATAGTTGACCTATGTCACTAAAGTTGTGTTATTCAGAGATGGATCATGGATGGATGTACATGGAAACTATGACTGTCGCATTCGTGGAAGGCATTGACTCTTTTGTGAAAGCCGCCAAGGCGTATGCAGGAAGTAATGTTCCGAGTAGTAAAGGATACATACACTGCCCATGTGTTGATTGCAAGAATGTGAAGGCATTTAGGATCTGCGACGTCAAGCAAATACGATATCATCTGCTAAGTAGGGGTTTCATGAAAAACTATAAGGTTTGGAACATGCATGGTGAGGAGGGTGACAACTTACCTGAGGAAACCATCCAAGGACCCTTGCTAGAGACTGCAGCAATGAAACCTTGCAGCAAACCATCCATGAAACCGTCCATCAAAGAATGGTCTGTCAAACAAAGGATTCGATGATTTGCTAACTCATTTGAAGAGCAAGATGCTTCCACGGCCAAATGAGTTGCCGGAGAACACATATCAAGCAAAGCAAATGATCTATCCATTGGGGCTAGAAGTACAAAAGATTCATGCGTGCTACAATGATTGCATATGGTACCGTGGCAAATATGCAGAGATGGTGTACATGGGTCATCATCGGTTCCTAAGCATGGAGCATCCGTACTGCAAGAACAAGAAATCCTTTTATGGCCAAACTGAGGATCGCCCGGCTCCTCGGATTCTAACTGTGAAGGATAGCTTAGCAAAAGTGAACAAACTGAAAGTCATCCTTGGAAAGGGCAAAGGAAGCAAACAGGCACCGAGTTCCTCTATGTTCAAAAAGAAATCGATATTCTGGGATGTGCCTTATTGGTGGTTCTTGGATGTTCACCACGCACTTCATGGGATGCACATCACTAAAAACATGACTGAAAGCCTGCTCGGCACCTTAATGGAGGCAAAGGGCAAGGGGAAAGATTCACTTAACACTCATTTGGACCTGCAAGAATTAAAAGTCAGGCCAGAGCTACATCCTGAACTTCAACCTGATGGGACACAAAAACTTCCAGTAGCCTCATGGACCCTGGAAACAAAGGAGAAAAAGAAGTTCTTAAGTTTCTTCCATGAACTCAAAGTGCCTACTGGCTACTGCTCAAACATCAAGAGGCTAGCGAACATGAAAGATTTGAAATTGAACATTCACTTAATGAAAGCACACGATTGCCATGTTATGATGACACAACTATTGCCAGTTGCAATTAGGGGCATCCTACCAGAGAAGCTAGATGACCCAATCATAAAGCTATGCTCATTCTTCAACACAATCTCACACAAGGTTATAGATCTAGCTAAACTTGACAAGCTAGAGAAAGACATGCACCATACTATGAGTAGGTTGGAGATGCATTTGCCACTGACATTTTTTGATATGTCTGTACATCTCATATCGCATCTCATTCTACAAATAAGAGCACTTGGTCTGCTGTTCTTGCATCAGATGTTTTCTTTTGAGAGGTTAATGAGCATCCTGATTAAGTATGTCCTGAACAGGTACATGCCCGAAGGGTGCATGGTGGAAGGATGGTCGATAGAGGAGGCAATCGAGTTCTGTACAAACTATTTGGGTCTAAATTGAATTGGTGTTCCTGTGTCTCGGCATGAGGAAAGGCTACAAGGCAGGGGGGTGATTGGGGAAGGGTCAGTATGTGTTGAGGTTGATGCTTTCTGGCAAGTCCTCATTTCACCGTCCTTCGCCAAGGAAGCATAGTTTCTCCCTATATCAAGGAGCACAAGGCAGAACTACGAGCTGCAAATAGTGGCAGGTCAAACACATGGCTGGAAAAGCAACACATAGAAAATTTTGGTCAATGGTTAAAGGAGAATTTGTTGGGTCAGCAAACTAATTCAAAGGAGCTTTATTACTTGGCGATGGGACCATCCTCGACAGTGTTGATGTACGAAGGATATGATATAAATGCATACACATTCTACACGAGAAAACAAGATGCCAAGAGCGTCAACCAAAATAGTGGTGTCCAAATCGAAGCTTATGATAGCGAAAATCATGGGCAGACATACTATGGATTCATAGAAGAGATCTGGGAGCTAGACTATGGATTAGAAGAACTAAAGGACCCTCTTTTTCGGTGCAAGTGGGTAAGACTACCAAAGGGCATCATGACGGACAAGTATGGTATGCGTACCATTGATTTCAAACATCTTGCCAACCTGGATGAGACTTTTGTTTTTGCGAAAGATGTAGTCCAAGTATTCTATGGAAAAAAACCTAGGTGATGGAGGCAGTGGGAATGTGGTGCTTTAAAGTAAAAGTAAGATCGTCAGTGTCAAAGATACAAACGAGGAAGAAGGGAATGGCTATTGAGACATGCCGGCTCTTGGTTCAGATGTGGATCTCCCCCTGTTTGTGGAGGGCGACGAACCAGCGTACGTGAGAAGCGATCATAACAAAGTTGCCTATGTCAAGTAAATGTATTGTACCTGCAGTTTGAAACATTTTAGTTTTAAACAATTATGCGTACAGTTTGATCACATGTCACTGGTTCTCGCATGGTTTAGTCAATCTACATATCATACGATGTACATGCGCTGAGTGTTCTGATGCATATCATACGGTGCACATTTCAGTTTGTGGCCTGGCCATGTCATACGGTGTGGATGTGCCTGCGTGGCTGCCGCTTTTCTTAGACCCGTAGATTGTATGTATGGTATAAGATATTAATGAAAGATTTTGACTCAGTTCTATTTTATTTCATACTTATTCTAACATTTCCTAGTTATTACAATCGGGTAGAATGAATGACGGTTTACATGTGCGCAATAGATTAGATGACACTGGTTTTCGCAGTATGTAACAATGAGCGGTCTAGGTAAACATCCGTATCAAACGGTGAACATATGTGCCATTAGCTCAAACAGCACTCATTAGCGCAGTGACAGGTCAGACACATGGCTGGCAAAGCAACATAGAGAAAACTTTGTACATATTGTCTATTATTAATTCATCTTAAGTTATGAGGCACTACAAATAATATTGAAACAAAATCATAGAAAATCAACAGCTAACAACATATTGTTTCTTATTCTCATTTCCCATGCGAACAACTCAAATTCTCGAGAAAACCTATAGTCCTCGCTGCAAAACACAGCCCTTCCTTCCCATCTGACTGCATGGCCACAAACACCGCATGTGCGCGGAAGATCACTATGCACTTGTGCCGACGGCGGCAGCGTTATCTTTCCCCACGTCGTTTGGATGATCACCTTGGTGGCCGCCTAGTGGCACAGCACACACCCCTTGTTGTGAAGCCACCTACTCGTTGGTCCGCCGCCGCCGCCCGCCATCGTCGCCTATGATTCTTCCTCACCCTCGAACCGTCTTATGTACCACCGCGTAGTGTCGTCATCGCTGGCATCATCATTGCAGTTATAGAGCAATATGGTGACCAGATAGGCTGCCACATTGTGCCAGCCATCGGCGGCACGGGAGAGATCGTCGAGGCATATCTAGGGGTTGTGGTTATCCACAAATACCATTGGTATCCTAGTGAGGAAGCAAGCCTATGGGTTGCTGAGTTGGGTGAGGCTAGCAAGGAGGGCATAGTAGTTAGCGAGATCGTTCCACGACATCACCCCGTGTTTGCACCAGTCCATTGCCACGCGACGATTGATGGTAGGGTCACCGCAGAAGCGGCGCATGAATGAGTAGGTCGCCCATAGGCAGCAGAGGCCATCCATGGGCCACTTCGAATTTTCAGTGAGGTGGCCGGCGATCTCAATGCCTAGATCGGTAGGGAGCGCCAGCAGCAGCGATGTGGGGTGCTGCCTCCTCGCACTGAGGGCTGTGGATGGAGCTACAACGT